CTTTTTTTTTCCCTGCCTTCCCTTTTTTTTGCCCCTTCTCTAAAACTCCAGCCCCCGGGGGTAAAAACTTGGGGCCTCCGGGGGTTTACAACCCACCCCCGGAGGTAAAAACTCCACCCCGGAGGTACAACTCGAGCCTCCGGAGGTACAACTCCAGCCCCCGGAGGTACAACTCCAGCCCCCGGAGGTACAACTCCAGCCCCCGGAGGTACAACTCGAGCCTCCGGAGGTACAAGTCGAGAGTCTCGATACAATAAGTGTTACAAAAAACGCGATTCTAAAAGCTTAGAGATCTCCAGTGAATACTAGAAAGGACTGCCCTTCAAGCATCCAGCCTGTTACTGGGTTTTCGTAACAAGTAGTCAGTATCCTTGCCCAATTATCCATTAAAATTCAGTATGGTTCAATAGTGCTTTAGGATTACAACTGGTAGGCTACTAACTAGAGAAATTAAAATTTAAAAAATTTTATTAAGTATATAAGTTGTCTAGAGGTATATTTTTAAAAGTAAATTAAATCACATCAATCAAAATAAAATCAATCTCTCGAGTTCAATATTATTGTGCTGAAAGCACATATCACATTTATAATTCTTAAGTACCGTCAGGTACATTAAAAATTTAATAAGATATTACAAATAGGTACATGTGTGTGTATGCGTGTAAGTGCTCTTAAGTAGTTAGCTATGTCTAAGACTCAAATAAGACTTAAAAAGTGACTGACAAAGTCCTCAAATAAACTAATTTCTTGACCGACGGCAACTCGAACAGTCCTGCTTGAACAACAAAGAAGCTAAGCCCAATACAATGCAATATCAAGCGACAGCGACACAGAATCAGGAACTGGGAAATAATATAATGACACTAAGTAGGGACCATCAGCAGATCCTCCACAAAAGTTACAACACTCCCTAATACTGAATCTTTGTTCAGCATAGGTAAAACTGTGACTGTGACAATACACAGGAACCAGTACAAAATTAGGTCAGAAGCTTAGCTAAGGACCTGAGATACTCAGAGTGTCTATGTGACACACAACCTCAGTACAACGTCGAAATCACTAAGTCTTTACAATGTTCTGTGAACAAAGTTCTACAGAACTAACAAGAATAATAAAGACAAAACAATCGTCCAACCACCAAGGGGAGTCTCCAGAAAGATCCCCAGACAGCCAAGCTGCCCAAACCGCAAGCGATTTCCCCAGAAACCCTGAAAATTTTATCAGATGGTGAGGACACCCCCCCCTCGTTTCACGTGATAGCTACGTGGACAATGCCCCCGAACCCGGGCATTTATCCCGAACGACAAACGATAATTACATTTAGTTTGACAACCCAATTTGGCCTTTAAACAAAAAAAGCAAAAAAATTTTTTAAAAATATACTTTTCCTTAAAAAACCAAAATAAAAAAAATAAAAATTTTAAAAGGGGGGGGGGGGGGGAAAAAAAAAAAAAAAAAAAAATTTGGGGGGAAAAAAATAAAGCAATAAAAAATTAAATAAAAAGGTTTAATTTTACATTATAATACTTAATAACCCATTGTAACCCATTCAGGGGTTGCAACCCCCCCCCCAAAAACACGACAAGGGCCCCACTAATTTTTGGCATGAAGTCTATCACATTATTTCTGGTTACTCATATAAATTTAAAAATTAACCGAGCCCTTTTTTGTGCCAAGCACTTTACAATTTCAAAGGGGCCGTCATTTAGGATATCCCCCAACTAGGGAAAGTACACAGAAAGAAATTTCTGCATACTCGGGGTTTTATATAAAACGGGTGTAGAGACAGGATACCCCGTGAAAAGGGAGGGCACTTTGAGCTCGTCATAGTAGAGGAGACTGCATTCCACTCTTAAGTAGGGGTTGGGGGAATGCGAGGCAGTAAACATCGAGATGAAACAGCTTAAGGGGGTGTAGTGGGGGGGGGGGGGTCTGGGGCGGACAGTGTTGCGTCACGCGAGCCCTCCCCCGCACCAAACTACTACTCAAAAACCAAAAGGCTTGTTTCCTCCTCACAAAACTTTACTGTGAATATATAAATATAAAAATTTAGACATGCATGAGTTAAATATATTTAAAATAGGGGTTTGGAGGGTTTTTAAGTTATTTTAAATTTAATTTTGACATAAGAAAAGTAAAAAAAAGGTTTTTGGGCCATAAAAAATTACGTTAATTTAATGTAATTGATAATTATTAAGGACGAAAAAAGGGGCGCAGAAATTTTTACATTACAAGGGACCACTTAGGGTGTTTTTAAATCCCTAAAGAAAAAGGGTTGGGTTTTTGGGGAGACCCCAAACCTAAATGATCCTAGCTTTTTTTACTTTTAAATAGTTTTTATGAGGGGGAGGGGGAATTGTGGTCAAAAAAAAACCTTTAAATTTTTAAAATGGGGAATGCCCAAATACACGAAAAAATTTTTCCAAATACACCAAAAGAGTAGACCCCTCTTTCTCAAAGGGGCAAAAATTTTTCGGGTGTCGTTTAACTTAGATAATAGTAACATATAGGTTTGGAGAAATCAGTGGATTTGACTGTTGGAGCAGCACAGCACCCATGCAAAGCCACTTCGCAATTATATGTAAAAAAAGGGGAAAGGGAAAAAAAGATAAAATTTGGGACTTTTTTCAACACGGGAGCATGGGTTAGCAAGCGCTTAAACCCTTTTTGAACGAGTCCTGAACAATCTCTAGCCCAGGTGAACTGAATTTTTGCTACTAGTAAGTAAGTAAAGGAGTTTGAAATTCTGGAAAATTTTGGGACAGAACTGCGATAATATCCGGGCCTTTACCCAGGATTCCTTACCCCCTTCCACCCTGGGCAGGGAAATTCGGGAAATTTTGGCAAAAACCTTACCCTCAATAGGAGCAAACCCTCCCCTTTGGGGGCCGATCAAAACCCTGATAGGTAATCTTGGCTTGCCCAAAAAATTTTACATTTGGCCTAAAAAAACAGTGAAGTTGTATGCGCCAGTCCCCCAAAAAAAATGCCCCCCCTGAGACGGTCAAGTGCTTTCCCCAAATCGTCACTGTACACCACTAAGTCGTAAAGGGTAGGTTTTCTACCCTTTAAGTTGGGGGTCAACTCGTTAAATTATACGCTGGAATAAAAAAAACCGCTTTACAAAAGGCCA